AGACACTTCCTCGGGGTATGGATGTACCTTCCCTGCCTGCAGTGCTTCTGCCAGAACCTCTCCCCGTGGGCTCACAGAAAGCTGCATCCCCCTATGCCATCCTCCACGCGGCATGACTCCTGACCAGCCACTCACCTCACGGCAAGTAAACTGCATCAGTGGGCCCATGCTCATGGAGTCCACCGGTCCTGCATGTTCCCATCTCCCCGAAGCAGCCAGCCTGGTAGAACGGTGGACAGAGGGTGGAATGGCCTTTGTGAGACGTGACTATGGAGATGGGTTAATGCTCTCAATCAGCAACCTACGGGGTCTCGCACAGCCAAGGTCCCCGGGACCAGCTCTCAAGAGATAGGAATAGCAGTGCTCTACTAGCCCAAAGGGTCCACCAGTGAAGTGTTGCTTCCCATCCCTGCAACTCTGGGCTCTGCTTGTCCAGTGGTCTCAGATTCCAAGGGAGGGGTGCATTACGGCGACTAGCTATCCTGGTTTGCCAGGACTTTCCTAGGTTTAAAACTGAGAGTCCCACATCCTAGAATCCCCTCAGTCCCGGGCAAGCCCTAGAGTACATCCACCAGGGGGCATATGTCAGACTGCAGCTGACAGCCACCTGGCCACTGGGGGCTCTTCACACCAGGGAATCGACAGAAGCTCACTGCGCCGGCGGGGATGACGGTCATAGAGGGGGGCTGAGCTTTCATGACAGAGCTGGGTAAGCAGGCGACGTCTGGAAGGCAGGAGACACTCCAGGGTGTCTCTGAGTGCCCCTTGGTCCTGGAGTAAACACCAACAGAAAACTAGAACCACCCAAAACAGGCATAGACCCTTGGGGTCACTCCATCAGACAAAGAGCCATGAGCAGCTGAGGTGGTGGCTGGGGACACGGGGACGTGGAGCGCGCAGGGGACGCAGGCGCCGGCTACTGCCACGTGGCTGCCGTAGTAACGAGACCTCATCCTTACCTTCACGCGAGGTACACCTGTACTAGTTCCACCCGCCCTCCTTCCTCCCTGTTCCTCTCCCACCCCTTCTGTCTAACGTATGTTAACAATAGCTGACCTCACATCCCAGTGTCTGTTATGAATGCTCACACACTCTCTCTGAGAGTGTTCAAGTGTTCAACATTCTTAAAGAGAACATATCGTTCAGTTAGAGTCAGTACCACCCAAAGATGGATAAAGTGATGTGAAACGTCCATCAGCCTCTTCTGGAGAGATTAGCCTCTTTGTAGCCAGGACACTTGCATCATACCAAGCAGAAGCATGATTTCGCCTTTGCTTTTACTTGGAGGCTAAGAGTGGTTTAAAGTAGAAGGTGTGGGCTTCCCTGGTGGCGCAGTGGCTAAGAGCGGTTTAAAGTAGAAGGTGTGGGTTTCCCTGGTGGCGCAGTGGTTAAGAGCGGTTTAAAGTAGAAGGTGTGGGCTTCCCTGGTGGTGCAGTGGCTAAGAGCGGTTTAAAGTAGAAGGTGTGGGTTCCCCTGGTGGCGCAGTGGTTAAGAGCGGTTTAAAGTAGAAGGTGTGGGCTTCCCTGGTGGCGCAGTGGCTAAGAATCCGCCTGTCAATGCAGGGGACATGGGTTTGATCCCTGGTCCAGGAAGATCCCACATGCCGCAGAACAACTAAGCCTGCGCACCACAACTACTGAGCCCACATGCCGCAACTACTGAAGCCCACGTGCTCTAGGGCCCACGTGCCGCAACTAGTGAGCCCACATGCTGCAACTACAGAAGCCCGCGTGCCTAGAGCCCATGCTCCACAACAAGAGAAGCCACCGTAATGAGAAGCCCACTCACCGCAAAGAAGAGTAGCCCCTGCTCGCCGCAACAAGAGAAAGCCCCTGCACAGCAACAAAGACCCAAAGCAGCCAAAAAAAAAAAAAATAGTAGAAGTGTGTGTGTGTGCCGAGTTGCCAAGGAGCCTCTCTGCTAGGGATTCTGTTGTTAAGCTGGGAATACGTTTCCCAAGATCCCCTTCCCTGTATGGTTTGGGTCAGAGTTGGGCAAAAGAGGAACTCGTGTGAAGTTGGAGACACAGCAGTGGGTGGTGGCTGCTACTCTCTGAAAAGGCTGTCGTGGCCACACGTGGTCGCTGATGGAGCAGCCGCGTCCAGCAGAGGCAACCTGCCTCTCACTCGCTCTCTGCCCCCTGCCCTTCATCCACCTGCTGGCCTCCAGGCCAAAAGAGACCTGCTGGAGCCTCCCAGGCAATAGTGTCCCCAACACTTTCCTCCTGGCACACACTTTCCTTTATTTTTAATGTTCAAGTAGCTTTCTTTTTTTTTCGCATTTTTAAAGACAATCTACATATTTATTTATTTACCTATTTTGGCCGTGCTGCTGCGGCCTGTGGGATCTTAATTCCCTGACCAGGGATCGAACCCGCATCCCCTGCATTGGAAGCGCAGAGCCTTAACCACTGCACCGCCGGGGAAGTCCCTGGCACCCACTTTCTGATGCTTGCTTTCTAAAGATTTCGTTTATGTTTCAGATCAGATGTCACTTCCCAAAACAGTGAACCTCTAGTGATCACTCTAGCAGAAGAAACCCTCCCCCTGGACCTCCCTGGTGGTGCAGTGGCTAAGAATCAATGCAGGGGACACGGGTTTGATCCCTGGTCTGGGAAGATGCCACAGAGCAACTAAGCCCACGTGCCACAACTACTGAGCCTGCGCTCTAGAGCCCGCGAGCCACAACTACTGAGCCCGCGTGTCACAACTACTGAAGCCCACGTGCCTAGAGCCTGTGCTCCACAACAAGAGAAGCCACTGCAATGAGAAGCCCGTGCACCGCAATGAAGAGTAGCCCCCCCCGTTCGCTGCAACTAGAGAAAAGCCCGCCCAGCAACGAAGACCCAACGCAGCCAAAATAAATTAATTAATTAAATAAAATTTAAAAACCCAACATTTGAAAAAAAAAAAAAAGAGGAAGAAGAAAACCTCCCCCTCATCTCTCTAGGCCATCATCATGCTTTATTGTCTTCACAGCACTTATCACCACTGGAAACTATTGCTTGCTCACATGTGCCTTTGCCTAGGAAAATAGAAACTCCATGAAAGAAGGGACCGTATCTGCCTTGTTAGATACTGTGCCCCTTAAGTCTCTGGCTCACAAGGACCCCAGGTATCTATTGGCTGAATGGGCACATGGTGGAGGACCAGGGGGCAGAGGGAAAGCAGTGCACACACGGCAACATGGAGATATGCATTTGTATATATGAGGTCTGGAGAGACACAATGAGATTTACAGCACAAAACTATTGATATATGTTTAAAATACACACGATGTGATGTATATCTTAATGAATGTGCAGATAACATGGACATGGAAAGGGGATTGGAGGAGGGGAAAGAACAAGAATGGGGTGGGGGAAGGTTTGAAGAGATGTAGGTGTTGCTACAGGACAGATGACAGATCGACAGAACGGCGGAAAGTGGCCAACTTGATTCTATGCCCCGAGGTCAAAATAAAAGGGAAAAAAGGGTAGTGTGGCAGTGTTAAGACTGCAACTTCCTGGATGATCTTGCCAAGATGAGGTGGGGTCCACGTCCCCTCCTCTCAAGGCTGGGTGGCCTATGACAGCGTGTGGCAGAATTGGCATGCCGTGACTCTCCAGGTGCTTTGCCCTGTTTGCTGGAGCCCAGAGGCCACTGCCCTGGAGTGGCCGTACCCTGGTGCTCTGGTTAGTCATCCTGGCCAAGCTCAACCATCCCTGCCAAGGCCCTGACACGAGGGTGCAGAAGTCTCCAGATGAGTCCAGCCCGGCCACCGGAGTCGCCGCCCCCAGCTGGTCACGTCTTCCCACCTGAGGCCCAAGACATCCTGGGGCAGAGGAGAGCTGTCCTGCGGGGCCCCGTCGAAAGTCCCGAACCACAGACTCCAGGAGCTTAACTAACAGTTGCTTTACAACCCCGATGCTGGGTGGCTCGTCACACAATAACAGAAAACTTTAACGGATGGAGGAAGGGACAGAGAGAGGAGTCAGCCGGGCAGCTGGGCAGAGGGAGGGCTGGAGGAGATGACAGGGCAGGCAGAGGTGGCGGTGGCCCAGGCAGGAATGGGAACCAAGTGGGCAAAGTTCAGCATCGGCCCACACTCCCCTCCCACCTCCAGCTCGGCAAGAGCCACACCTCGGACCCCAGGCTCAGGTCAGAAACGGGAGGGCTAGGTTCCCTCCTGCCCCCTTCCAGACAGCCGGGGCACCTCCTCTTCATCTTCACCCTGCCCTCAGTGGAGGCCGCCAGCTCGCCCTTCTGCTGCCGCTGTCCGCCTGGCAGCCAGCTCAGACCCTGGCCCTCCACGCTAAGTCCTCTGGTGGCTGTGCATGCCCCTCAGGGTGAAGCCAGGTGCTTTTGAGACCCTCCTCAGTCTTGCCTGCATAAAGCCTGTGCACCCACGCGCCCCCAGCCCCCCTGACCCACCACCATCACCTACCCTACTACGTCTCTCCCCAAAACTTCCTTTTTCTTCTTCCCACGTTGTCTGAGCCCCATTCCTCCTGGCCGCATTCTTAGCAGGAGGCTTACTCCAACTGCAAGCCCAGGCTGCCCGCATCCTTCCCCTCACGTTCCCCAAGCTCCTAGTGTCTCCCCATCACGCGTCCCTACACCCTTCTTCTCCGTGTCCCCACTGTCCCCCGACCCATAGCCTGCTCCTCCCGCGGCCTCCATCACTACACCCCGTGACCCCGGGTCCCTATGTCCCCCGGTCCTATGCACCACTCCTTGTCTCGTGCATTCTCTGCCCCTTGACCCCTGTCCCCGGTCCTTCACACCTCCCCATACACCGCATCCCGGGTCCTCCGCAACCCCAGGACCCCGCGTCCCCGCGCTGCGCGGGCTGGCGGGCCCAGGTGGATGCGCGCGCGTTGCGTAGAGACCAGCGGCGGGCACACCCTAACACGCCGGCCCCGCCCCCCGCGCCGTGGATTGGCTCCCCTCAGGCTGGCCGGGCCCGGATTGGCTCGCGCGGCGCGGTGGCCGGGCCCGTTTCACGGTGGGTAGCACCGCAGCGTGGATGCTGCTCCGTCCCGCCGAGGCCCCCAGGAGCTTGGAGCCCGAGCGGCCAGGCGGGGCCGGGCGGGGACACCGCCGGCAGCCGCTCCGCCGCCCACCCCGTGCCCTCGGCCAAGGGCAGCCCGGGGCCGCAGCCGCACCCTGGGGCCGCGGGCGGCGGACAAAGGGCCATGCAGGGCCGGGGGACGCGGCGCGGGGCGCGCTGGAGCGGGGGGCCGCGGCGGCGCCGCTGAGCGCGGCCCGGGGCGGAGACGGCCGCGATGCCGTGGTTCCCGGTGAAGAAGATCCGCAAACAGATCAAGCTGCTGCTTTTGCTGCTGCTGCTCACCTGCGCCGCGTGGCTCACGTACGTGCACCTGAGCCTGGTGCGCCAGGGCCGCGCGCTGCGCCAGCGGCTGGGCTATGGGCGAGGTACGGGAGGGGGCGCGCGCCCTGGGGGCGGGGGTCGGTGAGGGTCGCGAGCAGCGCGGATCCCGGGCCCTCCCATCGCGCCCAGGCCTCGGCGTGGGTCAGACCCGCCCGGAGACCCCGTCCGCCCTTCCCAGCTCGGCGACATTGGGGCAGGGGGCACGGTTCGGCTCAGCCCGGCCAGAACGCCGATGACGTCAGCAGTGACGTGCGCGACCCTCTTGGGGAGCGTCCCCGAACCCCGGCGGACGCCGGGGTCTGGCCTGGAGCGGGTAGTGAGTGACGGGGTTAACGGTGGGCTCTTGGGGAGATCTCCGCTACGGGGCCCTGCATGCTGGGATTTCCGAGAGGCCAAGTCTGGCTGCGCCTCCGACACGTGCCTGCTTAGCAGAGCCTCGGTTTTCGCATCTGCTGGGGAGGGGCAGAGACCCAACCTCAGGACGGAGAGAGAGGGGACTGGCGGGAGGGAGCTGACCCTTGCAGTTGGAACGCTTCCTGGAGGAGGTGCCCTAGGTAAACCTGTGATCAGGGACTGAGACGCTTGTGTGTTGAGGCGGGGTGAGGCATGGGGATAGGGATCCAGCTTGGGGAGCACCGAACTGCCTGGGGTGAACTCTCTCAGGCTCCTCGAGCTCACGCTCTAGTGGGGACAGACAGTGAACCCACAAATCAGGTCCTGGTGAGCGATGTGGGGAAGAGTTGGGGAGGAGTCCTGCCACTTTTGCTAGGGGGATCCCAGAGGGCCTCTTGGAGATGGTGACTTTTGACACACACTTGGAAGAGGAGGAGTAGAGTGCTGGGGGGGGGCGGGGGGGGCGGTGATGAGAGAGAGAAGGAAGCACCTCAGGGCAGGGATGGTCCTAGCCAAGCTGCTCCTGGCCCTTCTCAAGGAAGAGAGGTGTCCTTAGGATGGGTGGTGAGAATCTAGCTTCCCAAAGACTCAGAAGCATGATCTTGCCCCATGAAGTCCTGGGCCACCCCACCAAGGGGTCCAGAGTTCCCTGTTCAGCCCCACAGCTGGCACCACAGACACCCCAGGCCACGGGTCACAGGCTTGTCCCACCCCACCCCACCCCCAGAGTCCACGCATCTCACAGCTACCACACCCTCTAGGGGCCCCCAGCACTGTTCAGTCCCTCATAGAGGCCCCCCAGCTACCATCAAATAAGGCAGGACCCCGGAGCGTGACCCAGTGACACAGACGTGACCAGCCTCCTGCTCAGCTGCCCTGTGGTTTTCTGAGCAACCACAGTCCTCCCTAGCCTGACTTCCCGGGCAGCCGGGGAGCCTAACTCGGCAACCGCGAGGGAGCGGAGGTGTGGGAACCCCACTTCTGAGGCCTCCTCTGCTCTCAGCTGGACCAGCGAGGAAGCTGTCCTTGCTGCTCCTGGGTGGGCAGGAGCTGTTCAAGGTTATGGAAGATCAAACCCTCAAGCAGCTCCTGCCAGGAGCAGACCCAGGCGGGGCTCTTGCCCCCAGGGTTGCAGCCCCGCCTCCTGTCCCGCTACCTGGGCTCCCACCAGGGCAGGGCTTGTGGGAAGCTGAGCAGCTGGACATGTCTGAGGCCCTCCTGACTGTCCTGTCAGCACTGTGTTCACTCCCACCAGAAAGGCTACCTTCCCGGGGTCCAGCAGCCAGGAGGCAGGAGGCCCGTGTGGATCTCGCTGTGCTGGGGCTCAGCCCCTGCAGGACAGTGATGGCATCCTGGCTTGGGACCCCACTGTGGAAGGTTCCCAGTACCCACAGAGTTACCTTTGTGGGCAGGGAGCATCAGGGCCAGGCTGTGGGGATTTAGGGGCTCACCTCCCAGCTGGACAGGTGACAGTGACTGGGGGGGAGAAGCAAGTGGGCAGGCACCACCGGAGCCTCACAGGCACGAGACCGCGGGCAGCCCCCTCCCCCAGAGAAAGGGCCCAGGCCAACTGTGTCAGTCCGGGAATCTAGCTCCTGGGGTCTGGATCGAGGGACGGGCATAGACTTTGAAGGCCAGGCTTGGCCCTGGAGGAGAGGGGTTCCTGGACTGGGGGTCCCTGGATGGGAGCACCAGGGGAGGCAGATGTGGCGCACAGTGAAGCCTTGCCTTCGGAGGCTCAGATCCCAGGGTATGGAACCCCAGGCCCACAGCTTAGGGAGGAGGTCTGGGAAGCAGAGGGAGGCAGGAGTGTGGAGGTGGTCTGCCCCAGGCTTGGGGAGTTAGGGGGGTGCCAAGCTCTAGAGGTGTCCACAGAAGGGATCCCCAGGGGGACAGTCTCCCTCCGGGGCCGCCTTGGCCCCATGTCCTCTGGAAGCTGGACCAGAGTGCCAATCCCTCCTCTGCCCAGGTGGGTACCAGGGCTCCTTTGGTCCTGAGCCCTGGCCTCAAGGGCAGCAGGTGGCACACGTGCCATGGGCCGGGGCTGGCGTAGCCTCAAGACCACAGTGCCAGCTCACCTGACAACAAACTCCAGCACTAACCCTTGGCTCTCAGTTCTGGTAAAGGAGTCAGACACCAAACACTCCAGCACACAGGAAAAGTGCTGAGGGCACAGAGCAATCCTGGGGGCCTTCCTGGAGGCAGAGTCACTGATGACAACAGCCCCACGGGTGTGTGTGTGCAAGCATATGTGCTAGCATGTGCACACACATAACTGCTCCCTCATGCCAGTGGGGGCTGGGAAAAGCCAGGTGGGGGACTCAGGCAGGGGCCGTCCCCACGGAGGTGGGATGTGGGAGAAGGGCCCAGCCGAGAGCACTTCCAGCTGTAGGGTGGGGCATCGGGTAGCATGAAGGGGCAGACGTGGGGAGGGAGGGCTTCAGTGGAGACACCACCGGCCATCCTGACCCCAGCTGACCCCAGCGGCAGGAGCTGTGGCCTTGGAGAGCCTGGACCCCAGCCCCGCCTCATGTGCCGCCCACAGATGGTGAGAAGCTGAGCGGTGTGACAGATGGCCGGGGCATCCGGGCTGCACTGTCCACACAGAGGGCAGAGGACTCCAGCGAGAGCCGTGAGGAGGAGCGGGTGGTGAGCAGGGCTGCAGGGAAGAATACCACAGCACACACGAGACCCAAGGCCACTCCTGTGCCGGTGGCCTCAGGACCTGTAGGCCGTGTGCACGGAGGACACAGCGGCACACTGCTCCACCACGGAGCGTGGCCCCAGCCTGGGCAGACGCATCTGGTGCACGTGGGGTGGCCAAGGGTCTGCTCGGGTGGGTGTGCACGGCCGGGGCGTGATGGAGTCAGGGCTTCGTGGCTGCACGTGGAAGGGATCTCTGTGAAGTGAGCCGGCGGGTGTGGCGGGCTGTGTTGCGTACTGTGTCTGGTGCGCGTGCGTGTGGCTGTGGGGCTTCTTCCTGCCCTCACGTTCCTCAGCTTTGACCCTGGTGCCCCTTCTCTCCCGTAGCCCGAAGGTCGGGACCCAGACGCGCTGTTTCCCTGGGGGGCTGGAAGGCCACTGTCGCTCAACCTCACCCGTCAGGCGCCCTCGTGGCGGGAGGAGGTGAGCTCTGCTCAGCGGCTCGGCCTTGGGGAGGGCCGGGGGCAGCTGTGCAGAAGGTAAGCCCTCCTCCCACCCCCAGTACAAGGGGCAGGTGAACCTGCACGTGTTCGAGGACTGGTGCGGGGGCGCCGTGGGCCATCTGAGGAGGAACTTGCACTTCCCGCTCTTCCCTCATGTGAGTGCTGGGGTGGGGGGCGGCCGGCCCGCAGGTGGGCGGGGGCCTTGACGTCAGAGGCCGCTGCCCCCCCAGACTCGCACCACCGTGAAGAAGCTGGCTGTGTCCCCCAAGTGGAAGAACTACGGCCTCCGGATTTTCGGCTTCATCCACCCGGCGAGAGATGGTGCGGGGACGGGGGTGTTGGGGGGCAGGGTGTCATGAAGCCCCCACCGACCCCTGAGCCCTGTCCTGTGGCCTAGGAGATGTCCAGTTCTCCGTGGCTTCGGATGACAACTCTGAGTTCTGGCTGAGCCCAACCGAGAGCCCGGCGGGTGCCCAGCTGGTGGCCTTTGTGGGCAAGGTACCCCCACGCGCAGCCCAGCCCCTCCATCCACACCCATTGTCTTCGTGGGCCTCCTGCGGCTTGGTCACCTGTCCCCTCCAGCTTCTCAGGAGTGGGGACTGGATGGGGCTGGTGCCCCAAGGAGAGGGTGAGCCCCCTGCCCCTTCTCTGTTACCCTCCAGACTGGTTCGGAGTGGACAGCACCTGGAGAATTCACCAAGTTCAGCTCCCAGGTGTCCAAGCCCAGGCGGTGAGTGACTGTGGGAGTGTGTGCATGAGTGTGTACCCGTGTGTGTGTCTGTGTGTGAGGACTAGGTGACACGTGCATGCGTGAAGCCGCTGTTGCTATGCTGCCCCCTCAAGCCCCACCTCCTGTAGGCTCCCCATCTGTTTGGGGCTTCTGGGGCATGGTGGGCCCGCCCCCTCACTCCTCCTGTCCCCAGGCTCATGGCCTCCCGGAGGTACTACTTTGAGCTACTGCACAAGCAGGATGACCGCGGCTCGGACCACGTGGAAGTGGGCGTGAGTGCGGCTGCCCTCTGAGGGCTTCTGGAGACCCCACCTCCCCTGCCCTGCCCTCCTCTTTCCGGCCACTCCCCGCAGGACAACGATGTGGACCCCGCCCGCCTCCCCCAGAGAAGCTTCCCATCTAGCTGACAAAGCAGGTGCTCAGGGACGGGGCTTGTGCTCACAGAGGAAGCGACCCTTGAGCAGATTCTTGAGAGCTGAAAGACATTCACAGGGAGACCAGTGGGGAGAGAATCTGGGGTGCAAAGATGAATTCCAGGTCTCGAGAACAGCAGAGGAATGGAACCACCTGGAGTCTTCTGGAACTCCAAGCAGTCTGGTGGCCAGATCCAGCAGGGCTTCCTCCTAAGGATGAGGCAACTGGATCTGCATTTCAGGGAAAACCCTCTGGCCACTGCCTGTTGGGAGGGATTTTCGTGGGTGGCCATCCATCGGTCCCTGAACCAGGGAGGTGGGAATAGAAGAAGTGGAAGGTCCGGGGGAGGGGGGGGCGGAGGGAGATGCCCAGCGACTGAGAGCCTGAGCCTGGCTGGGTGTGGGGTGATGACCAGGGTGGGCTAGGGGGTGGTGGGAGGTTGCAGGTGTCTGGTTTGTGTGTGGTGGGTATCACCCCAGCTCAGCTTAGCAGAGGGCCCAGCCTGCAGATGCAGATTTGGGGTGATCTTGTGGAAGCCGGGGGAGTGACTAAGGGCCCAGGATGAGCTGGGAAGGGAAGAGGGCCTGGGACAGCCCCCAGGAAGCCCAACATGAGAGCGGTGGGGGAGGGAGAGTCTGCAAGGGAGACTGGGAAGGCACAGCCACAGAAGTGGGGGAAGTGGGGCTGAGGAGGTCCAGCGGGGAGCTGGGGGGCCAGCTCTGACCTCCAGAAGGGCAGTGGCTGCAGAACCGGGGGGAGGTGGGGGCAGAGGCCATAACCAGAAGGTCCGGAAGCACCCAGGGTGTCAGGAAAGGCATCCTCACCTGCCTCCAGGGACCCCAGCCTTCTAGGCCTCTCCAGCTTCCCTGCTGTGCCTTCTCAGGACCGCTCTCCCATCCACCCCCCCACCCCAAGCTTCCTGCGTCCGTGAAGGGGTTGCCCCTACTAGTTCCCCAGCCCCACGTCAGGGAAGATTCACTCCTCCCTGACCCAGCTGTGTTCCCACCTTGACCCCCATCCTTTGGCCCTGACCACCCTCTCCAACCCCCAGTGGCGAGCCTTCCTGCCGGGTCTGAAGTTCGAGGTCATAGGCTCTGCTCACATCTCCCTGTATACAGGTGCGGAGCCCAGTGCCTCTGGGGAAAGGGGAGGGCTCCTGATGGGCGGTCTCTTTGGGGTGGTGTCTGGATATGGGTGAGGAGGGATCTCTAGGAACTCCTGGGGTCCCCACACATCCTCTGCCCCTAGATGAGTCAGCCCTGAAGATGGACCACGTGGCCCACGTGCCCCAGTCTCCAGCCAGCCACGTTGGGGGGCGCCTGCTGCAGGAGGAGCCCAGAGCTGACATGCTGCGGCCCGATCCCCGAGACACCTTCTTCCTCAGTGAGAGGAGGCCCCCCGGGGTGGGGTGGGGGGTGGGGTGGGGCAGGGCAGGGGTTCCAGGTCACAATGTGACCACGCCTCCCGTAGCGCCTCGGGTGGAGCCCTGGAGTCTGGAGAATGTGCTGGAGCCCTGCACCTACGCCCCCACCTACGTCGTCAAGGACTTTCCCATCGCAAGATACCAGGGACTGCAGTTTGTAAGTGCCCCTCACCAAGGTCTTCCCTGAGACCCAGGCCTCCCTCTTCCCAGGGTCCCCGGAGCCTCCTCCAGGCCCTCTGGAAGACTCCCCAACCTGAGCCCTCTGCCCGCCCCAGGTGTACCTGTCCTTCGTCTATCCCAATGACCACACACGCCTGACTCACATGGAGACGGACAACAAGTGCTTCTACCGCGAGTCGCCGCTGTATCTGGAAAGGTGGGTGGGTGGTGCCCAAGGAAGAATGGGCGGGGCCTCGGCCGAGCCTGGTCTCTGACGCCCCGCCCCTGCCCCAGGTTTGGGTTCTACAAATACATGAAGATGGACCGGGAGGAGGGGGAGGAAGACGAAGAGGAGGAGGTGCAGCGCCGGGCCTTCCTCTTCCTCAACCCAGACGGTGAGTGCCCCCCGCGCCCCCCACCCCCTCAGCTGGGCCCGCCCTGGCGCGGCAGCTCACCCCACCCGCGCTGCCCACAGACTTCCTGGACGACGAGGACGATGGGGAGCTGCTCGACGGTCTGGAGCCCACCGAGGCGCCCGGAACGCAGGGCGGCCGCCGGCTCGCGGCCCCCACCGAGGCCCTGGCCACTCCCGCCCTGCCAACGCCTCCCGCCCCCCTGGGCCGGCCGACCCCCCGGCGCTCGCGGGCGCTGAGCTGGGCCGCCCGCCCCCTTCCCCTCTTCTGGGGCCGTGCCCCTCCCCCCCGCCCAGCAGCCGCGGCCGAGCAGCCCCCGAAGGTGTATGTCACGCGGGTGCGGCCGGGACTGCGGGTCCCACCCCGGGCCCCGGCACCGCTCAGCCCACGCGGCCCTCCCCGGCCACCTTTCCCTGGCGTCTTCCTGCGCCCCAGACCCCTACCCAGGGTGCAGCTGCGCGCCCGCCCACACCCACCCCGGGCTCGAGGCCGCAGGACCGGCGGCCCCCAGGCCGCAAAGCTGAGGCCCCCGGCCCCGGCGCCGACCACCCAGGGGAGCCGAGAGGGCCAGGCACGCGAGCCGGGACTCACGGCCCCCACCACGGACTCGAACTATTCGTCCGAAGCGCAGCCCGTGACCTCCTTCCTGAGCTTGTCCCAGGTGTCCAGGCCACAGCTGCCCGGGGAGAATGAGGAAGAGGAGGAAGGGGATGACGAGGAAGGGGCGCAGGGCGAAGAGGCTGCGTTGGAGGACAGCGAAGAGAAGGCCGGCCCGGTGCGCGGCCGCTGGCGCGAGGACGCTATCAACTGGCAACGCACGTTCAGCGTGGGCAGCGTGGACTTCGAGATGCTGCGCTCGGACTGGAACGACCTGCGCTGCAATGTGTCGGGGAATCTGCAGCTGCAGGAGGCCGAGGCCGTGGACGTGGTGGCTCAGTACATGGAGCGGCTCAACGCGCGCCATGGAGGGTACGAGGGAGGGGCGCGCGTGGAAAGGGACGGCCTTGGCCTCCATGGGACCCTCAGACTTCCCCAGGGTTTAACGGGGCACTGCTCTGGGAATGGTACACGCCCCCCTCCCCCCCCACCCCCCCGGAAGTGTCTTCTCACCCTTCTGGGGCCCCTTACTGCTCAGGGCCCCCGTCCTGTGCTAGGAGCCTTTCTCCCATCACCCAGGGCTGGCTCCCCTGTCCTGCACCTCCAAACCCCACACCTATTACATTGGACCTGGACCTGAGGATGGATCTGAGCCACCCAGGTCTCTCTTCCAGATAGAGACACGCACGAAGGTCAAGCTAAGAACCCCTGGATCCCTCTCCCCACTGGCACCTCGCTGGCTGGGGTCTTGGTCCTCAGGGGAGGGCTCAGGGTTCCTGCCCCACTGGCCCTTCTGGTCTCCCCCAGGCCCCAGGAATCCAGTCTTGTCTCCACCCCAAGCAGGTATGGGGGTTGGAGAGTGGGGGCCCCAATTTGACCTGAGGGGAGGCCCTGAGGGGAGGCCCTGAGGGGTTCTCAGAGCTGTGCTGAGCCCTTAAGTAGGGGCAGGACCTGCAGAGACAGGCAAAGGCTGGCCAGGAGGCTGGTGGGCAGAGGACAGGCCTCATGGGCCTTGAAGGCCAGGTGCAGGAGTCATTCTTCTTGCCTCCGATACACACAGTTTGGAGCAGGACGCAGGTTTGGCCCATCTGGTTCATAGACAAGCATGTGGCTGTGTTGGAGACGAGGGGGTGGAAGGGGGAGCCCATGACTGACAGGCTTGGTCCAGGGCAGCGATGGGATGGCCTGGACCCTTGGCAGGGGCTGGGGTAGATTGATTCTAGGTGGCTGAGAAGGCAAGCCTGTGCTTGGCTCTGAGCTTCCTGAGAGCAGCTCATCGTCCCATGGGCATGAGGGGGTCTGTCCAGCAGAAAGGTCATGGCTGCAGCCCCACCTTCCCTGAGCCGTGCAAGGGTGTGGGTGGCCCCAAGGAACGAGAGCACAGACCCAGAGCGTTTGGGGCAGAAAGTCCCTGATACTTGAGAGCATGGTGGGGATGGGCAGGGGGTGAAGGGAGGAATCTAGACCCCTGGGAGGTCACACCAGTAGGCTCCGATGGTGAGGGATACTGGCTGCAAAGGTGGAGGGGGGGGACGTGCGGCAGAAGGGAGAGTGACCTAGTCAAGGGCAGGGCCCTATCTTCCCAGGCCAGGGCTGGGGAAGAGCCAGCGGCGGAAGGCCCGGAGGCTTCTTCCCCAGAGATCAGGGCAGCCCCTGCGCTGGTGCTGGGGGGGCAAAAATGAGGCTTCTCAGAGGAGGCACCCAGGACCTTGGAGAGGAGGGCGGGGAGCCTGGGGCGAGCATCCAGGCAGGGGACACCTAGGGCAATGACCCCACGGGAAGAGGCAGCTTGCGTATCTAACCTGAGGGGGTATTGAGGCCACAAGGTAGACACCGTTTACCGGCTTAGAATTCAGACATCTGAGCCTCAGCCTGTGGGCCGTGGGCGCCCCTAAAGGTTTATGAGCGTGCAGCTGTGGACAGAAGTGGTGGCACCGAGGAGAGGACTGGCCTGGGCTTGGGGACGCCTCCCTTGTGAGCTGCCCCACGGAGAGGGAGCCCCGGCGTGTGGGCCTGCCTTCTGAGAAGGGAGCTCCCCAGCAGGCCTTGAGGTGTGGTGGGGGACGGGGGACGTGTGGCACCCCACCCCACGTCATCTGAGTGGCCACCTCGTTTCTGCGGCTGGGGGCAGCTTGTGGGAAGAATGGGGTTGGAGTCGTGGACGCAGCTTCGGAGCCCGAGGGGGCTGACTGGGTCCCACCCCGCAGGCGGTACGCTCTTCTGCGCATCGTGAACGTGGAGAAGCGCCGGGACTCTGCGCGGGGAAGCCGTTTCCTCCTGGAGCTGGAGCTCCAGGAGCGCGGCGGGCGCCGGCTGCGCCTGTCTGAGTATGTCTTCCTGCGCCTGCCCCGGGCACGTGCTGGCGACACAGATGGAGACGGGGAGAGTCCTGAGCCCGCTCCAGCCGTCTCCCCAGCCGCCTCTGTGCACCCCGACGGCCGCCCGGAGCTGTGCCGGCCACTGCGCCTGGCCTGGCGCCAGGATGTGATGGTGCACTTCATCGTGCCAGGTGCATGGGAGTGGGGCTGGCTGGCCAGCCACCTGGGATTGTGGGGGGGGGGGGGGGGGGGGGCCTTGTCCAGCAGGCCTCAGGGGGGGGGGGGGGAGTGCCACTGGTCCTGGGCAGGGTACCGCCAGGTCGGGTCCAGGTGGGTTCAGTATCCCCATCCTCCTCCAGTGAAGAACCAGGCGCGCTGGGTGGTACAGTTCCTGGCAGACATGGCTGCGCTGCACGTCCGTACAGGAGACTCTAGCTTCAGTGTCATCCTGGTGGACTTTGAGAGCGAGGACATGGATGTGGAGAGGGCCCTCCGCGCGGCGCCACTGCCCAGGTAACGGTGCCCCCCACCTCCCGGGGAGGGTCAGGCACAGCTTCCCTCCTCCCGGACAGGCATGGGTTTTCCTGCCCCCGCCCCCTGCCCCAGAAATGGGTGGCTATGACTTCCCACCCCATATCCCCTTCCTCCCCCAGATACCAATACCTAAGGCGAACCGGGAACTTTGAGCGCTCCGCGGGGTTGCAAGCTGGAGTGGCCGCGGTGGAGGTGCGTGGGCAGGATGGTGTGGGTGGAGAGAATGAGATGGGGGGGCGGGGGGGCCCTTCCGGAGGAGACGGCGAGGCTCAGACCTCCCCGCTGTCTCCAGGATGCCAGCAGCATCGTTTTCCTCTGCGACCTGCACATCCACTTCCCCCCCAGCATCCTGGATGGCATCCGCAAGCACTGCGTGGAGGGCAAGCTAGCCTTTGCGCCTGTGGTCATGCGGCTGGGCTGCGGGAGCTCGCCAGGGGACCCTCACGGTAATGCCCTGAATGCCCCTCAGTAACGTCAGGGGTCCCACCCATGCCAGTGCAAAACCCAGGCCCCTGGGGGCCTCCCAACCCGCAAGGGAGGCCTAGGGCCCCATCAATGCCCCTTATAACGCCTGGGACTCCTTGTGGCCTCTAGGACCCCCAGAGTGCCCAGGACCTCAAGTCCTCCCCCCAGTAACCCCAGGGCCATGCTCGGCCCCTAGGAACCTTCTCCAACACCCAAGTCATGCACAGGCCTCCCAGGTTATGACCAACACATTGGAGTGACCCCGAGAGCCCTCCTGAGGAAGGGCTTGCAGGACCTGGCGTCTGAAGGGCACCCCATCCCCGCCAGGTTACTGGGAGGTGAACGGCTTCGGCCTCTTTGGGATCTACAAGTCCGACTTCGACCGCGTTGGAGGCATGAACACCGAGGAGTTCCGGGACCAGTGGGGAGGCGAGGACTGGGAACTTTTGGACAGGTGACCACCTCCCCGCAGCGGAGACTGCGACTTCCACATCCTCCGCCTGTGGGTGGGAGGGGCCTCACGTGCTGACGGGACTCTGCTTTCCTCCCCCTCCGACCCCCAGATCTAGGCCTAGAGAGCTCCTTGGACCCCACCCCACTCCCCTAAACCCCTTCCCAGCTCCAGGATCCTGCAGACTCAGGGAAGCCCTTGAACCAGCTCTGCCCCCAGACCCTGCAGGCCTCTCCTGGGTCCCTCTCCTCTTGCTGGGCTTGGACAGTAGTGGAAGCCCTGACACCCCAGGCCCTGGACCAGAGGCGTGAGCTCTTCCATTCCAGCCCACCCCCAGGGTTCTGTAGTCTAGGGGCAGCCCTGACAGGCATGCCCTCCCCCTGCAGCCCCATTCACCCCCATACCCCCAGTCTGGATCACCCCCCAAAGGTCCTCTGGGCTGAGGGGCAGCCCTGACTCGCCCTCCCCACCCAGGGTCCTGCAGGCAGGGCTGGAGGTGGAGCGGCTCCGAGTGCGGAACTTCTACCACCACTTCCACTCCAAGCGCGGGATGTGGGGCGTGCGCAGCCGCAAGGCCGCCCGCAAGGAGGCCCCTTGAGGACCAGCGACCCCTCCCGGCCCCGGCTGCTGTCCTGCCGTGGCAGCTGGAGGCCAGGCTCTGAGCCTGGACCCTGGGGACCCAGCGGGGCTCATCCGGGGGCACAGCCACCACCCGTGCCTGCCCCTCTCTGGCCCCCCAGGCTGCTGCCCCCTCTCTGGCCGCCCCCCCACCCAGAGAGGCGGCCGTCGTAGCCGGCGGGGCCTGGGCTTGCCCCCCACGCCCTGTGCGATGATTTCTGTGAAATTTTGCCGTAGCAATGACATTGTTTCAGGATTTCCAAGAGTTTTGTCTGTTCCGTTTTTTATTCAGAATGAAATGAAATATTTTTTTTAGTTCTGACTCATCCTCTGGGCCTGGTTCTCTTGGGAGGGCAGAGGTGGGCCTGGGCGGCAGCAAGAGACCCTGCACCCGCGGTGGCCCTGGGCACTGCCTGCTGCTGACTCCCTTTCCTGACCTGAGCTGCAGCCGCCGTGCTGACCGCACCTTTCTCCACCCTCGAGACCACTCACTTCTTCCCGCACTTTCCCTTTGAGCTTCTGTATCGGGCCCTGGAGGCAAGGGGGTTGGGGACCCTTCCTCACCGCCCTGTGCGTGGAGCCGCCAGTCACCAGCGTGGCATGAGGCCTTTCCACCTGCGACCGTCTGCTTAGTCCCCTTTGTTGTGAAAACAGACCTTGGATGTCAGTCCTGCGCCACCCTCAAGGATGTGGGAACACTAGGCACCCCGGGGTGGCGGGTGACATGCTACAACCAGGTTGGGGTATAGTTAGGACTCAGTTGCCATAAATGGAAAGCCCAATGCACACTGGTTTAAACACAACGGGGGGTTTGCTTGACTTGTCTCGTGGAAGTCCAGGGTCAGGAGCCCCCTGGAGAGTCAGACGGGCTGCATGATGCTGTCGAGGGCCCCCCCCTTCCCTGGGGTTCCAGTCACAGCAGGGAGGCCAGTGCTCTGCCTGGCACCGGGCGTGCTTGCCCATATGAGTTCCTTGCAGCTGCTGTAACAGATTTCCACAAACAAAATGGAATTTCCTGTCTTACGGCTCTGGAGGTCAGAAGTCCTAAAATCGAGGTTTCCACAGGCCTGCGCCCCTTCTGGGGGCTTTAGGACTGAATCTGCTTCCCTCCTTCCCCAGCTTCTGGAGGCCACCTGGACTTCCTTGCTCATGGCCTCTTCCTCCATCCTCAAAGCCAGCAGCTTACCATTTTCATATCACTCTCCCTGTCTTTCTCACACCTCTACTACCATCATCACATCTCCTTCTCTGGCTCTGACCCTCCTGCCTCCCTCTTATAAGGACCCCTGGGATGACCCTGGACCCACCCACATAACCGAGGATAATCGCTCCATCCCAAGCAACATCCTTTACTTAATCTGCGAAGTCCGTCTTGCCATGGAGGTGACAGCCACAGGTTCTGGGGATTAGGGCATTGACATCTTTGGGGCTTTTACTCTGTACTGCCTCATTCTGTGGGAAGGCAGCACGTCCGCCCAGCACTCCACACAATCCTCGCAAGATTTACCTTGCCATGAACACAGGGCAGCAGGGAGGATTTCAGGGAAAGAGAAACCAGATGGACACTCCAGTCGGGCCCTGAGAAGACCCTAGAGATGGCCCGGGGCATTCAGCTCTGTGGCTGCTGACCAGGGCAGCCCGCGGGTGTCTGTGAACACTAAGTCACTTGTGACGTGAGTCCTGCTGGTGCCCGCAGGGTGGAGGACACAGCTAACCTGCCACACACCTACTCAGAAGTTACCAGATGCCCCAGCTCATACTGCCCACTCCTCCCTAAGTATCTAGTTCAGAAGAAATGATCCCCAGATACAGATGTTAGTAACAAGAAAAGAACTAGCACTGGAATTAAGAATATATACTCCAGGGCTTCCCTGGTGGCGCAGTGGTTGAGAGTCTGCCTGCCGATGCAGGGGACGCGGGTTCGTGCCCTGGTCTGGGAGGATCCCACATGCTGCGGAGC